AATTCCGATGATTGCAGTGCTGAGCGGGCAGTGTGACATACGCACACCGGCCCGTGCAGCATTCGTCTTCCGACCACGCCACCAACCCGCCAAAAATCGTACGATTTTCGGCAGGTTTTCCAGCGTGCTTGGAAGACGAAAGTCGTGCGACTTTACAGTAGATGAGGTCGCACGCTGACCATACACCTGCCGATTACCGTACGATCGCGGGATCACCCACAACTATCGTACGATAATCGGCAGGTGTATGGACACCTTTAGTGTATGTGTATATTAGGCCCCATTCACACCTACAGTATATTTCAGATGGGATTAGAGATTCCTGTGTCAGGAACTTGCGTTTTCCTGCAGCAGGAATCCCTAATCTGGAAACTATCACAAGATAAGAATTACCATAAGATTATTTAAGAGGGTGTGTTTAGGGGCGGAGTTAAGGCCAGGGCAGGGTTAGGTGGGGCAATTCGTGACTAGTAACTCTTAAGGCCTGGCTAGTAGCTCAGGACTTGAAATATTGAGCCCTGCTGTACAGGAGGGGTGCCCATTAGGTCGATCGCAATCTACCACTCATTCGCAGAGCTGACGCTGGTAGATCGCAATCCCATGGTGCTAATGTGGCCGAATGTATCAGAAGCTGCAGCAGTCTACATTAGCACCGCAGGAGGACAGTGGGCGTGAAGAGCTGGGAAGCAGGTAAAAAGCTGCTGAAGATTTGCAGTGCCCCGGAAGAGGAGAGACAGCCAGGGGAGAGAGAGAGCGAGGAGAGACAGCCAGGGGAGAGAGAGCGAGCGAGGAGAGACAGCCAGGGGAGAGAGAGCGAGCGAGGAGAGACAGCCAGGGGAGAGAGAGCGAGCGAGGAGAGACAGCCAGGGGAGAGAGAGCGAGCGAGGAGAGACAGCCAGGGGAGAGAGAGCGAGCGAGGAGAGACAGCCAGGGGAGAGAGAGCGAGCGAGGAGAGACAGCCAGGGGAGAGAGAGCGAGCGAGGAGAGACAGCCAGGGGAGAGAGAGCGAGCGAGGAGAGACAGCCAGGGGAGAGAGAGCGAGCGAGGAGAGACAGCCAGGGGAGAGAGAGCGAGCGAGGAGAGACAGCCAGGGGAGAGAGAGCGAGCGAGGAGAGACAGCCAGGGGAGAGAGAGCGAGCGAGGAGAGACAGCCAGGGGAGAGAGAGCGAGCGAGGAGAGACAGCCAGGGGAGAGAGAGCGAGCGAGGAGAGACAGCCAGGGGAGAGAGAGCGAGCGAGGAGAGACAGCCAGGGGAGAGAGAGCGAGCGAGGAGAGACAGCCAGGGGAGAGAGAGCGAGCGAGGAGAGACAGCCAGGGGAGAGAGAGCGAGCGAGGAGAGACAGCCAGGGGAGAGAGAGCGAGCGAGGAGAGACAGCCAGGGGAGAGAGAGCGAGCGAGGAGAGACAGCCAGGGGAGAGAGAGCGAGCGAGGAGAGACAGCCAGGGGAGAGAGAGCGAGCGAGGAGAGACAGCCAGGGGAGAGAGAGCGAGCGAGGAGAGACAGCCAGGGGAGAGAGAGCGAGCGAGGAGAGACAGCCAGGGGAGAGAGAGCGAGCGAGGAGAGACAGCCAGGGGAGAGAGAGCGAGCGAGGAGAGACAGCCAGGGGAGAGAGAGCGAGCGAGGAGAGACAGCCAGGGGAGAGAGAGCGAGCGAGGAGAGACAGCCAGGGGAGAGAGAGCGAGCGAGGAGAGACAGCCAGGGGAGAGAGAGCGAGCGAGGAGAGACAGCCAGGGGAGAGAGAGCGAGCGAGGAGAGACAGCCAGGGGAGAGAGAGCGAGCGAGGAGAGACAGCCAGGGGAGAGAGAGCGAGCGAGGAGAGACAGCCAGGGGAGAGAGAGCGAGCGAGGAGAGACAGCCAGGGGAGAGAGAGCGAGCGAGGAGAGACAGCCAGGGGAGAGAGAGCGAGCGAGGAGAGACAGCCAGGGGAGAGAGAGCGAGCGAGGAGAGACAGCCAGGGGAGAGAGAGCGAGCGAGGAGAGACAGCCAGGGGAGAGAGAGCGAGCGAGGAGAGACAGCCAGGGGAGAGAGAGCGAGCGAGGAGAGACAGCCAGGGGAGAGAGAGCGAGCGAGGAGAGACAGCCAGGGGAGAGAGAGCGAGCGAGGAGAGACAGCCAGGGGAGAGAGAGCGAGCGAGGAGAGACAGCCAGGGGAGAGAGAGCGAGCGAGGAGAGACAGCCAGGGGAGAGAGAGCGAGCGAGGAGAGACAGCCAGGGGAGAGAGAGCGAGCGAGGAGAGACAGCCAGGGGAGAGAGAGCGAGCGAGGAGAGACAGCCAGGGGAGAGAGAGCGAGCGAGGAGAGACAGCCAGGGGAGAGAGAGCGAGCGAGGAGAGACAGCCAGGGGAGAGAGAGCGAGCGAGGAGAGACAGCCAGGGGAGAGAGAGCGAGCGAGGAGAGACAGCCAGGGGAGAGAGAGCGAGCGAGGAGAGACAGCCAGGGGAGAGAGAGCGAGCGAGGAGAGACAGCCAGGGGAGAGAGAGCGAGCGAGGAGAGACAGCCAGGGGAGAGAGAGCGAGCGAGGAGAGACAGCCAGGGGAGAGAGAGCGAGCGAGGAGAGACAGCCAGGGGAGAGAGAGCGAGCGAGGAGAGACAGCCAGGGGAGAGAGAGCGAGCGAGGAGAGACAGCCAGGGGAGAGAGAGCGAGCGAGGAGAGACAGCCAGGGGAGAGAGAGAGAGCACAAGAGAGGGGAGAGAGCAAGGGAGGTGTTTTTTTTTCTCTCTAGTAAATCTCATTGGGAGGTCATCTTTTAAAAAGGAGATTTTAACACACAAAAAAAAAAAATGTTGGGCACCCCTGGTGTACAGTGTCTGTGACAAGGACGGGCAGTTGGTGGAGTAGTTTAGCTAAGATGTTGGGCAAGTAGAACCATTAAAGTGAAGCCAGAATCATAAGGCCATGCTGAAAAGGACTTTCTTACTAATAAAAAGGTAATTGCAAGCACTGTGTGGTGCCTGCTCAAACAGGACTTTTTTTTTTTATAAAAGTTTAAAATGGGTGACAGGTTCTCTCTAAAACTTGCAGCACACAAACACCTTGTGCAACACATTAAAATAAGGTAAAAGATTGGGCTGACCTACAAAGACTGTCAGTGAACAAAAAGCAGCAAACAGGTCTGAATGTGACATTTACAGCACAAACGGATTTGCCACTTGCTGGTGAATCTAATTTTGCACACGTGGAACATTATTTGCATCTTTCATAGAGCCATGCATGTGAAGACTTTCCAGGAAACACAAACAGTATAAAAATGTCAAATCGCAGGAATCACCGCTTGGAAATTGAAGAATATGAATTTGGAGATTTAACCATACAAAGCATAGTTCTCCAATCTGTTAGTGAAGAGGCAGACCCCAAATGGAGGCGATGACCTCCAGGTAGGTTCTCTTGGAGTCAAGAGAAATGTATTTTAGAATTTCTGTGGCTGTGGAATTATTATGGAAATCTGTAGATAAGCCGCACTGTTACCCTGGTTTGCAATATATCCCAATTGTATAGGAGAACATAAAACCTGTTTGGAGACTGTAGAGGGAACCTGAGGGCTGTCAGCTACCACCTTGGTTTAAAGGAACAAGATCTGAGCCATAATTCTTTTTCTTGCTTCTCTAATTTGAGTTGCTGTCCCGGGAAAAGCATGCAGCCAGTGAAACTGGACTCCTGATATGCATACTTGTTCCAGAGTCGTAAGGAGTGAACCAGTGGCAACACTGAGTCTAAAACTTGCACTTTTAAAAGAGACCCTGTCACAAAAGCATAAACAAATTCAAGTAAAAAAAAAATAAACACAGAAAAAAAAATCATTTAAAAGTGTTTTTACTATAAACATGTTTTATTCCCTTGCAATGTGCCTTTGAATTTGCATGGGAATGGGGCAACTCCAGAAAAAGCAAATCCTCTAGGACAGTCACCGCTTCCCCTTCCTGTTATGTTACAGTCCTCTTCTCTTTTGGAAGTGTTATTACAAAGGATGCATGGATACCGACTTTTCACTCTCGAGTACGGATATTTTTTTTCTGTGCTCACCGATCCCGAACACTAATATCGGCAGTCCCAATAAGGAGACTGTCACAGGTCGGCTCAGTAGATCGGGAGGTGAGCAAACACATACCGGTGTTCGCTCTCCTCTCGATCCTGTCACAGCCCTCTGCCGTGACAGGGGAGGGGCTGGATTCCCCCCTCCCCGCCAGGCACTTGAATGCATTTTTAAGAACTCCTGAATTTAGGGTCACTTTGATGAGGTGATGACTGGGGTGTTTTTAAAAAGAGATATTCCCAATCGCAGCTCCTTCCAATTCCCCTTTACCCTTGCATTACATTTAATGACCACTAGATGGGGG